GGCTGACGATGGCCGGCGCGTTGTCGTTCTGGTCCACTACCACAATGTTGACGGTGGCGTTGCCGGCCAGCGCTTCCTCGCCGTTGGGTTCCTCGCCTCCTCCGGCCGCGTCGCGGGCTTCTACTTGGAAGCTGAACTCCTTGAGCTGCTCGTAATCGAAAGAGCGCAACGCATAGAGGAAGCCATTCTCGGAATTGATGGAGACGTAGGTGAAGACTGACATGCCCTGGATCTGGCTGTCCAAGATGGAGTAGGCTAGCTGTGCGTTGGCGCCCTGGTCACGGTCCGCGGCGCTGACGGCGTAAATGTAGGCTCCGGGCACGTTATTTTCGCTCACGTACACCTGGTAAACGGGTTGCGAGAAGCGGGGCGCGTTGTCGTTCACATCGCTGACCCGCACCTGGATGGACTTACTGGTGGTCAGCGCCGGCTCACCCATGTCCCGCGCCACCACCGTTAACGTGTAGGCGTCGCCGCCGGGCTGCTCCCGGTCTAGGGGCCCCTCGGTGACAATGGTATAGTAGTTCTTGAAGGAGCTTTTCAGGCGGAAAGGCGCGTCGCCTTGGAGCAGCTCGCACTGCACTTGCCCGTTCTCCTCGGAGTCTCGATCCGAGACGCTGAAGAGAGCCACTACCGTGCCCGGAGCCGCCGCCTCGCTCACGGCTTCCTTGACGGTGGAGAAACTGATCTCTGGAGCATTGTCGTTCGCGTCCAGCACCCGCACCAACACCTTACAGTGAGCGGGCACGGCGTTGGGCCCCAGATCCTTGGCTTGGACGTACACCTGGTAGACGCTACTCTCCTCGTAGTCCAGCTCGCCGTTGACTTCCAGCCGGCCGGTCCGTGGGGAGATGCCGAAGAGCTCCCGCGCCCGGGCAGAGATGTGGCTGCTGAACGAGTAGATGATCTCTCCATTCTGGCCTTCGTCCGGATCGCTGGCATTGAGCTGCAGCACCAGGGTGCCGGGCGGCGAGTTCTCCGGCAGGGAGACAGTGTAAACCGGCTGTTCAAAGGCGGGCACATTATCGTTGGAATCCAGCACGCGAATAGTGAGCAGGGCCGTGCCGGTGCGCTGCTGGGGCTGCCCACCATCCACGGCTGTGAGCACGTAGCGGTGCACCGCCTGCTGCTCGCGGTCCAAGGGCTTGGACAGCACTAGTTCGGCGAAGCGGTTGCCGTCGGGCTGCGTCTGGACGTCCAGGGAGAAGTAGCTGTTGGGGGTGATCTCGTAGGTGCGCAGCGAGTTAGTCCCCACGTCCGGATCGAAGGCGCTTTCTAAGGGGAAACGGGTGCCCGGTGTGGCGCTCTCCGAGATCTCTACGGTCAGGTCGGGCTCCGGGAAAGCGGGCGGGTTGTCGTTGATGTCCAGCACTTCGATTTCCACGCGGAAGAGCTCCAGCGGATTTTCCAAAAAAACCTCCAGGTGCAACTGGCAGGACGGACTTTGCTTGCAGATTTGCTCGCGGTCGATCTTTTCACTCACGTACAGCACCCCGGTTTCCAGATTGAGATCCAGATAAGGGCTCCGCGAATTAGGCACCGTCTGGAAGCGGCGAGCAGAAAGTTTTGTAATGTCCAATCCCAGGTCTTCGGCAATATTTCCCACGAAAGTGCCATGTTCCTGCTCCTCCTGCACCGTGTAGTGAAGCTGCGAAAGGGCTCCCTCCACCATCCAGTTTAAGGCAAAGAGGAATAGCACCACCATCTCCAAAAGGGGAAAGAGATCCCCCTCCCCGACGCCAACACTTCCTCCTTCTCCAAAAATCCCCCTCCTCCGTCGAGAAATACCGTGTCTTGGGGGCCGGAGAGGGAAAGCAAAGACTGAGGCGAGCTTCAAAAACGATTTATGTTCATTCCTTTCCCATCATTTTCTCTTTTCTTCCCCATCATCGTCTCCCTTCACACGCAACTGGAAGGAAAAAAAAAAAGGAAAGGGGGGGAAAGCGGAGGGCTGAAAAATCATGCAAGATAGGCACGGGAGGCTGTCAGGCAGAGCTCCCACCTCATCCGTGATCTTCGCAAGAAATGGCTAACCATAGGCAATAGGTAGGTGGCTATATAGACAGAGGAGCCCGTGTTAATTTATTCCCAGTGTCCTGGCACTGCACCGCAGCAGCAGGAGAGGCGGTGGAAGCAGCAACAGCAAATCCCGGGGAACTGGTATATTTCAAGATTATCCTCGGGTTGGCTTCCTGGTGGGAGTAGGAGAGGGAAAAGCTGCCAGAAGAAACGATGGACATGCCCCCTTTGGTTGAAGAAAAATAAATTTGACACAAGAAAAGCTTCTCTCTCTTTCTCCCTCCCTCCTCCCGGGGGGGGGGGATGAAATTAAAAACAGCCAGAAAATATTACAGCCATCGAACGGGTGCGGTGGGGTGGGAGGAAGGCAGAGAGCAGCTCGGCGACCCTAAACTTTAAATCCCTGAATTTCTCGAGGACTCAGTGGAGATTCTCTTAAACCTCTCTCGCCATTTCTTCCTTGAATGCCTTTTCCCTGCGCGCCCTCATTTTTTTCCTCGCTAACGAGGGTCCGCATCAGCTTTCTTCCACCCTCCTTTTTGCTATATCTGGCTTCCCAGACACATTCACTGACTCGGTTGCTTTCTTTCTCTCCTGTCCCAGCTCGAGTTTCTGTGATCTCTGCTGGCAGTTTCTGAGCTCCGAGCGCTCGGCTTGTCTGTTTTTACGCAGCGATCTGCTCCTGCCAACCAATCGCCTTGTAGTTACAGCCCTAGGACGGCAGCATATTGGTTTCGCCGCACGTCAAGTAACCTCCGTCAGAGAAGGGGGAGGAGAGAATACGGGAGAACCCGTCGCTCTTACTCTGTGTGTGTGTGGTGTGTGGCAGAGAGAATAACCCTGACACTCCCGAAGCGCTTACTGGGGATTCTCTGCCTCGGAAAGTTACTATTCCCTTGTTGCAGTTACTGAGCAAGGAGATTACTTCTCGTCATCACTGCAAAACCATGACGCTAATAAACAAGCTGGTCCTTAGAGATGGAATTTCCACCTGCTGCGGACTTTCCCTTTCGTCTTTGGATCTTTCCACACCCTCCTTGTTTTAAAAAAGGAAACTCCTTGAAATAACAAAATAAACAAGGAACAATTGAGGTAGATTTTCCGTACATATTTTCCTCTTGGTCTGATGCGTATTTGCCTTATTAATATTGTATCCTAACAAACACATTAGAGAATTGTACTTTCCACGAAGTGTCTAAAGTTGAATCCTTTCTGGAGGGAGGCAATATTGCTCATATAGAAAACACTTGGCCGCACTTTCTTTTGCGCTTTAATCGATTTCACTGTACAAGCTGCTCGGCAGAAGAAATTAAGCAAGAAAAGGAAGGAGGGGCAGATGGTGAGATCCTTCCAGGTCACGTGATGCTATAAAAACTGCCAGGAACAGCGTGGCAAAAAGCTCGTAAATGTTTTAGATAGACTTTCCTAAACAAGGGCTCGCTGTATCAGATTGACATCTCACATATACATATACATACCCTAAACAATGTTTCCCAAAATTGCTGTACCCCAGAAAAACTGAATTTCAATTTCTACAATATCTGGCCAGCACTGCCAAATTATGGGTGCTGAAATCCATTACATGTGCAGAGCACAAGATTGGGGAAAGCAGCCGAATTTATGGCTGTAATTGTAAACATATTGGCTTAAATGGGAGTGGTGACAGACAATGTATCCTTTAGAAGCTGGGGGCAGGAAGAAAGAGGGCTCCCCTTTGGCTTTTATAATAGCTTTTGGCTCTGCTTTGTGATGGCTAGAAATTAAGATCAATAAATGTGCTTGTTCGCTGCTTAAGCCTACGTTAGACCCCTACGGATCGGGTGTTTACTACTGCTCTTGGGTCTCCTGATTTAATATGGTGGCACAGAGGAATTGTACTATAGCAACGGATCCAAGTGCTCTCTTGGTGAAATGCTGCTTCGCGACTTCTTAAACTTCCTGGAACTGCAAAACCCCTGAGGCTAAGTTCGCCCCCACCGGAGAGACTTAGCGCTTGCAGGGAAGGGACAGGCGTCACCGAGTTCTTGCATCCCCTTCCTCGAATGGTGTATCACTGAAGTAGATCTGAAGCATCGCTGAATGGCGAATTGGAGCAGAATGGCGGAATGTGTCTCAAAAATAGAATACTTCATTTTACATCTTGCCTGAAAGAACTCCATAGGGCATGCTACTGACCAGGAAAGCATAAACTTGCATTGCTAGGATTCAAGGAATTTCTGCGAAGCTAATCTGAAGCAAGAGTTGGAAGGTTGCAACATAAGTAGTCAGTAGGCTGGCCTCCCAGATCAGGGGTAGATTCTCTTGGAAATGGCTATTTACCATGGAGTCCTATATATATGTTTATTCCAAAGTAACTACTGTGTATAGGACAGCAACCTGAAAGAACTCTCCAAATCACAGTGCTGAAAACAGAGCTATTAAGGGATTGCTTCTAAAGAAATAATGTATAAATGGCAGTCTCTGGTTATAATTTTATTTTTACTGTGTTGCCAAGGTCTCTTGCACAGATATGGAGGACACAGGGGAGATGCCGTGTTCAAGCACATTCAAACATTTAGACATCTAGTTGACGAACATAATTAATATCCCTTATTAGTAAGTGCTAAACATGTATATGTGTTTCCCCCTTATCTCTGTGGATTATATTCTGATTTTTTTTTTCAATAGAATGAACGCAAACGCAATTTCTTCACTGAAGCTTAGCACAAATAATCGAAAACCCGATTTTCCTCTGAACATATATTTAATCTCAATCCCCTTATGTTTTAGGTCTAAGCCTATCCGAAACATCGAGCACTAGATCCATTTGGCTATTACGGTTGAAGCGCCATATAGATTTCCAGGAAAGATACGGAATCACAAGATCAAAGCAGCCTAGGAGGATATCCCCAGAGCCGTCAAAACACAACTCCCTTTAATGTAATAGCATATGTCCGTTTCCTCCACCCAGCCAGTAAAAAAAGGATTCTTAGCTTTCTGAGAAGCAGATCTGTCGCCCTCCCCTCACCCACCGCTGCAAGGCACACATCTCTAGCATCCTTCTCCTGGCAGCAGCCGGCTCTCCGCCTCCGCTTCTTTTCACGTGAATAGGTCCTGCCTTTGAGCAGAGGAGAGCCTAGGCTGCCAGGGAGAGGAAAAGCGGGAGCGGGGGCTAGGTCTTAGCTGCAGTAAATTTACGGACCGGCAGAGCAAAGCTGCGTGAAAGCCGCCGCTGCAGCGTCACACGCTGGTAGAAAGGAAGGGAGAGGCGGGTGAAGGCATCAACGAGACCTGTGGCTTACTCAGAGTGAAAGGGGGACCGCTAGGTGAATATTCTTTATGTGCCCCTCGGAGCTCCCTTTCAGGCATTCATTTGGTGAGGCTAAAAAAGATTTTCAACATCTGGATATGCTGACAGCTGTGTGCAATGGTTAAAACTCGCCCGATTTAATCTATTGCTCTAAAATGCCATATGGATGGCTGAACTGATTCACGTAAAGGAGGCTTGAGGCATGAAGAAGGAATCAGGAATGTTTTGTTGAAAATATCAGACAAGATTCAGCTTCAGTGAGGGGGGGGGGAACGGGTGGAGAAAACTACATTCAGTCGCGACCGAATTCTCCTTGAAAACGGGTACTGTAGGTTTAAAAGGAGACAGAGAGAACACGAAATGGACGGGTCCGGATAGTAAATAATCTCCTGTATGCACTGCACAAGTAATAATCTCCTGTATGCACTGCATCTCCCCCCCAGCCGGAAGATGGAGAGAAACGATCTTCGCTTCGCAAATGTAAGCAGCAGGCTCCTCCTAGCGATCAGAGCGAGTCTCTGCTGGAGTTGTGATGTCCGTTCACGACGCCGTGTGTAGTACTAGACGCCAAACGCGTGTCTGCGCGTGTGCACGGCACTGGTCTTTCTCCACCCTTTCGTCGCTCTCTCGCTCTCGCTCCCCTGCACGTGACAGCCAGCTACGCCGTCGCGCGCCGCCCTCCTTCTGAAGAAGACGAGTGGCTGCAGATCGGTGGTTCGAACGGAAAACTAGAACGGCCCCCTTCGTAAACACGTGCAAGCCTCCGATTCGCTGCCTGGCCTTTTCTGCTTCGGCGGTGGCTGGCGTGTGATGCGGCTGGGCGGACTGCGAGTGTCTCATGTTGTTCACGAAATGACCTCATTGCATTTGCATTGAAATTCCTGTGCCTCTTATTCCTGTGTCTCCGAATTCCTTCTCTATTTCTCCCGGGAAGCCCGATTCCTTCTTCATGCCTCAAGCCTCCTTTACGTGAATCTTATGCAGCGCTCCCCGCCCCCTCCCTCTCATCCCCAACCAGGCAGAATCCCACATTTTGCGAAAAAATGGAATTACAGAAACAAATTGCTAAGAAGTTAAAGGTCACGTTACTTACTTGCTACCTCCCCTAATACATCAAGGAAAGTCCAGTTTATTGCTCAACAGTGGCATCTCTTACCTGACCTTGGCCAAGTGAGTCAGACCTGATGGCATTTTGGTGGGTGAGCACCTGAAAGTCTCAGGACTGAAGACAGCCCGAAGATGACTGCTTTGGTATTGTTGCCAAGAAAACTAACTGGGTGAGGCATAAAGGAGTCTGCATGAAGGATTTACCTTCCCAGTTTACTCACTGAGGAAGGGCAAGCATACAAAATCAGGGGCAGTCTCAATTGCTCCCTTGAGGTGATTTAGGCCTTTTCTTACTAGTGATTTACAGGGTCGTGCAGTTCTCCAATCATGTGGAAATGATCAAAAGCTGCTTGTTCAGTTCTGGATCAGGGTAAAACAGTTTTATTATTGATATTTTTTGGTATTTTAAGGTTTCCTCTTGTCCCCTTCTTTTTTATATTTTGCTCTGTTTAAAAATGCTTGCTTTCCTTTTAAGAATTTTCATAGGGAAAATGGTGGGGAGCAGGAGGAAAATGGACTTTCCGTGTTAGGCATTTTCCTTTGGGAAAAGGAAAGTGGGCCAGTTTGTTAACATCTGGATAAATGACTGCTTGTGGTGATTTAACATGACTTGAAAGCAATCTGTTTCTAAATCCTCTTATTGTGCCATGCTTGGAGCTTGGTGAGAGGCTTTTTTTTTTTCTGAATAAATGAGGAAAAACAAGAAACCCTGATGGGGTAATAAAAGGCATCCTCTGAAGGAGAGAAAAAAAGATGGTCCAAATAGGATAATTAACCAATAAACAATGTGGAACAAGGGGCAAACAGAAGCATATTTCTTCATGTGGGCAAAGAAAATTACAAAGCCGCCAAGTAAAACAACCTTCCCACAACCTGTTGCCTATGGATATGTGGGAGTGGATGCCACATTGGCTGGATATGATGGGAATGTTGAAGCCTAACAGTTAGTTAGCTCAGTTTGAAAAAAAATCTGGAATAAAACCTCACAAAACATGTCTGTTGACCAAATATAGTATCATACAAAAGCACAGAAACACAAACTTTGTGTTTCTAATTTTTGAACATTGTTTCCTTTTCTCTACCCTTTTGGTATGTGATCCCATGGGTCTGGACATACAGCTGAGAGTGACATTGACATCAGTGCTAGGATTATGGGCTGGATAACATTTAGAAAGTGAGGAATGTGTTTTTTAAGTGAGCAAATAAGAACGTGAGGGTAGGTATGTGGACCTTGAAATTATGCAGCTGCTTTAATGAAATGCAGACCAGTGCTATGATTGCACCCCTGGATGTTCTG